CCCGCGCCGAGCCATGGTGAGTCCCGCGTCGCAGCCCTGGTGTCCCCTCGGCCTTTATGCCACTCACTTGGGGTCCCCAGCCCCCAGACCCGGGCCTTCTGCACCCGCCTTTGGAGCGCTGCGCGCTCCAGGACTCTGTCCTCCACCTCGCTTCTTTCCTTTGGTCGGTCTGTCTGCTCCACTGTCCAGCGCTGTCCCCACCGGGTACTGCCCTCACCCCTTCTTTCTTCCTCCTCTTCTGCGCCCTTCCCCCACTCTCCCTTTGGTCTCCACTCTAACCCACACACCTCCCCTCGCCCCCCTCGGTTCTGACCTGTGCCTTCTTTTGCAGACCCTTCTCTCCGCCTCCCCCTCCAGGTCCCTGATTCTTTCCCACAGGACACCTCTGGGGGCTTGGTCTTGCAGTGACCCTGGAAAGGGCCCAGCCTCAGGTCATGAGAACTGACCTGCCTGGAGCCACCATTTTCCATCCCTGTCCCCATCCCGGTGAGGCGGGTCCACCCATCCGGCCCTGGGGGACTGGCCACAGCTGTGGCTGGGCGGGAGCCAGCAGCATGGTCACAGGGGAAAGTTCTTGTCCAGAAAGAGTCAGGTAGTGGACAGAATGGGGAAGGGGGCTTCACAGTGCCAGGGGGCGTGACGCTGTAGAGCAGACAGGAGGTGGTGGTGGCCCGGAGCTCAGGCTACAGGGGACAGAACGGCAGCCTGGGAGAACTCCTGCAGCAGCAGAGGCTGCAGGGAAGCCTCCCTGCAGGGGTAGGGCACCCTGGCAGCCGCAATTCAGGGAACAGGAAGCCGAAGGGCACTATTAAGGGGACGCCCACGCCAACAAGAGTGGACGGTGTCCTGAGAACTTTCACTCCAACAGTACTCTCTGAAGAACTGTTGCGGGGAGGCATGTGAGGACTGCCAGGGACAGTGCCCCCTGAAAGGGGCGCGGCCGAGGGGGGCACTTATTGCAGCGAGAGAAGGCCGGGGAGAGGAGGCCCTACCCAGGGACTTCACTGCACAGTAGAGAGGAGGGGGTGGAACACACCCAGGCCACTCCATATAGTAGAGGGCACCCCCCCTGGCAAGGAAGCTGAAGCCAGAACAAAGAGGAACTGGGCCAACGAGAACTGACTCAGTCTCTCTGGTCCCTTATACTTTGGTCCCAGCCGGCGAGAGGCCCCCGTCTCTGTACTCCGACTCTGCGACTCTGTCTCCCGCCCCAGACCCCTCCTCCCCTCCTGCCGCTGCCGTTTCCTGTGGCTGAGACTCCGCTTCAGCCATGAGCTCACCACTCCTAATGGGTTGCAGCTGCCTCGCTGCTCCAGCTCTGCTCCCCACTTCAGGCCTGGGAGCCGAAGGCCCACTCTGCTCCACCCCCACCCATCTCCACCCTCCCCACACCCACGCTCACAGGGCACGTCCTTCCCTAGAACACTGGGGGTCTGTCTGCTCGCCCACACACCTAGGGGCCTGGACTCTGTGCTGACGCATTAAATGCCCTTCTCTGGAGTGGCTGCTCCAGCTTCTCAGATAGTTGGGACAGGCGAGCAACTCAGAGATTCAGAGTCCTTTACTTGAGGACAGTGGCTGGGCATGGACGAGGGGTTAGGGAACAAACAGTAAGGATAGCAGTGAACACAGTGAAGATTGCAGTGGGCAGCTCCTTCCCCATTTTACTGCAAGGAAATCTGGTTAAAAAAAAAAACAAACTTTAAAGCTCATCTCCGAAAAATAAAAAATGTTTGCAAACTAGTGGCCCAAGGAATGGTTGTTTAGAATACAGGATGGGAAAAAGATGTTCTGTGGATTCAGTCAGGGAAGGGGCCAAGTAGGGCTGAGCTTTGTGAGAAGCTGGCTCCAGGTAGAGGCTGGAATCAGAAAAAAATATTTCAGCTTGAATATTTGCCATAGAGTATTCCTTTCCTCACATCTTCCTTTGGAGACTTTTTCCTCCTTCAAGTGTTCCTACCCAATTTTTTGTAACCCATTTCTATAGAGAATGGGAAAGGGGTACTGAAAGACCCACCTACTATCTCTGGAATTTGTGTTGAGTGGTGCATCTGATCAGGATAAGAAGCTCTGGCTGGTGGGAACTTCTAGGAAGGGTTATCTAGCATGGCTGTGTGAAAGCATCCCACTCCCAGAGTTCTCAGTCCTTGGTTCAATTCTCTGATGGTCCATAAGCCCTTCTCTTCCCTCCTGAGGAATGTTGATGCCACTACCCTGATTCACAAGAACAAGGAATAGTTGTGGTTTGAGGCATTGACAACAATTCCTCCCTAAATCTCTCGAAGCTGAGGCCTCAGAGGTGAGTGTAGTGTCCAGAAAGGCCTGTGATCTCTCACTGGCCCAATGCCACCACTGACTCGTCCCAGCTATCACCTCCTGTACCCATTCTGTGCAGACACTGCACTGCAAGGCCACTGGGGCACAGTCACTCTCTCTTCAGGATGGCCTGCAGGAGGGGTCCATAGCCTGGTCCTGTCTCTTGTAGGAGCCCGAGCCAGTGGAGGATTGTGTGCAGAGCACACTCGCTGCCCTGTATCCACCCTTTGAGGCAACAGCCCCCACTCTCTTGGGCCAAGTGTTCCAGGTGGTCGAGAGGACTTATCGAGAAGATGCACTGAGGTATACGCTGGACTTCCTGGTGCCCGCCAAGCACCTGCTTGCCAAGGTCCAGCAGGAAGCCTGTGTGAGTGGCTATAAATCCTGAGATCCACTGTTTTGCTCTAAAGACTAGCCAGGCTGACTAACTTCCCCCACCCTGAGACACAACTTCCCTTCTTTCCTTGACACTGAACCCTGCTCCCAGAGGCACTTGAGCCTCATTTACTAACCTTCCCTAAACTTTGACCCCTAAAGGAACTGACCACTTGGATACTAGCATGCACACTCAGAAACACTCGTCTTCCCCAAGAGTAAAGATCATTACATCTTTAAGTCTGGAGGAGATTCAATGCCAGACATGGCCCCACTTAGAGCCACTTCTCAAGATACAACTCCCCCAGACATGACTCAATAGAGCTCCTTCATTTCTACAGCTGTAAAGACCTCCTCAGAATCTTTGACTCCTCCAAGACAATGGCATCTGCTGACCATGTCTTTATAATAACTCAGTTCTTGCCCTCCCACACATGGACTGGATTTCTAGAGATCCCCACCACCAGAAGGCTGATCAGCCAGCCCCAGTCCCCTCCTCTAAACCCATGCACACACCCTCAAGATACCAGCTCCACTTAGATTATTGCTTGCCGGTCACAAGGCCAGCCCTTCCCTATCCTCTTATACTCCCCCTTGCTGGCTTCATCAGCAGAGGCCTGATCACAGCCCCAACTCTCTCCCCAGGCCCAGTACAGTGGTTTCCTCTTCTTCCATGAAGGCTGGCCTCTCTGCCTGCATGAGCAAGTGGTGGTACAGCTAGCAGCCCTCCCCTGGCAGCTGCTGCGCCCAGGAGACTTCTACCTGCAAGTGGTGCCCTCAGCAGCCCAAGCACCCCGCCTGGCACTCAAGTGCTTGGCCCCAGGGGGTGGGCGGGTGCAGGAGCTGCCGGTGCCCAATGAGGCTTGTGGCTACCTGTTCACACCCGAATGGCTACAAGGCATCAACAAGGACCGGCCCACAAGTCGCCTCACTACCTGTCTCCTGTCAGCACCCTCTGGGATTCAGCGGCTGCCCTGGGCTGAGCTCATCTGCCCACGATTTGTGCACAAAGAGGGTCTCATGGTTGGACATCAGCCAAGTACAGTGCCCCCAGAACTGCCCCCTGAAACCCCAGGACTCCCCAGCCCTCCACTCCCTGAGGAGGCCCTGGGCACCCGGAGTCCTGGGGATGGGCACAACGCCCCTGCTGAAGGACCTGAGGGGGAGTACGTGGAACTGTTAGAAGTGACACTGCCCATGAGAGGGAACCCCACAGATACTGAGGGCTCCTCTGGCCTCTCCAGAACTCGGACAGTACCCACCCGAAAGGGACCTGGAGGGAAGGGCCGACACCGGAGACACCGGGCATGGATGCACCAGAAAGCCCTGGGGCCACGGGACCAGGATGGGGCACGCCCACCTGGAGAAGGAAGCAGTACTAGTGCCAGTCCTGGATCTCCCCTAGAGGCTGAGGCTCTCTCAGAGTCAGCAGTCCTGGAGGGGTCTGAGATCCCAGCACGACCACTAGGGGAAGCTTCTGAATGTTGCCTTCTGAGGCCAGGGGAAGTTGGGGCAGGGTCAAGTCAAGGGGCTGAGGGACCTCCTGGTACCCCACGGAGAATGGGTAAAGGAAATAGGAGAAAGAAGAGGGCTGCAGGCAGAGGGGCACTTAACCGAGGAGCAGACAGTGCCCCACTAAGCCCTGCAGAGAAAGAAGAGAGCAGTCACCAGGAAACCCTTGTCAGTCTGCCCTCACCAAACGAGCAAGAGCTTCCAGAATGCAGCTTGGTTAAGGCGGAACAAGAAGACCCAAGGAAGCCCAAGTTGGAGCCAAAAGAGGAGCTGAAACCAATAGAGGAAAAGGAGGCTTGCCCCCCAGAAATCTGTAAACCTCAAGAAGAGGCAGCACAGGAGACAGAGCAGGAGAGGCCAAGCCTCGTGTGTGCAGCAGGTGAGATGGCATGAGTTCAATGGGGCGAGGTCCAGAGCAGGTCAGGATAAGCCAAGGGGCCTGGAGGAGCATTAAAGGCTAGGGTAGAAGCACAGGCCAGACCTCACCCAGCTCCTACTCTACCTCTGTGCAGGGCCTTCAAGTCCAGAGGGGCTTCTGGCTGACCCATCCCTGGAAACTATGCATGAATTCAAAGTGGACAGTGTCTCAGAAGAAACACCTCCAGTCACCATCTCTGATGACCTTGATGTACCTTGGGACTTGATGGCATCTGGATTCCTCATCCTAACTGGTCAGTGGGTATTAGTGTATGAAGGAAAAGGAAATCAGAGAAGAGGGGCAATTGAGGTGGGCTTAGAAGAAAGGCTGGATGGGAGGTAGCCAAGGACTTCCCCAGCCAGGACAGCCTGGCCATTTTGTGTCCTCAGGAGGGGTGGACCAGAGTGGGCGAGCTCTGCTGACCATTACCCCATCGTGCCCTCCTGAGGAGCCCCCACCCTCCCGAGCCATGCTGAGCACTGCTCTTCATTACCTTCACTCACTGCTCAGGTAACCAAGGCCCAGCACTGCTTACCTTGGACATTGGCCAGGCTCCTGAGGACCCTGGGCTCCTCTTGGGACAGTGACTGCCTGACTCTAGGACTCCTACTGCTTCAGCCCTCAGATTGTCAAGACTTTGACCTCTGATTTTACTGACTCCTAACTTCAAGGATAAGATCATCAATCCTCACAATAACTACCTCTGATTTTCATATTTTAAGATATTCCTGAGATCATTAGGACATTGATGTACTCATTCAACAGCTATTTCTTGAGCACCAAGTACCAGTTATGCTCTATGTTAAGTATGTATTCTCTACCTTTCCAGGACATAGAGTTCCTAACTTTCCAGACCCAGATTCCTTGACTCAGTAGACATGGAAAATAGACTTCTCTAATTGTTAAGTCACCACACACAGCTCAGACTATGACCCTTTACCCACTGCCTCCTCCTAATGTACCACAAAATAACTTCTGAGGACTGTTAACACTAAAAACATGCCTCCATGCTGCCCTGTCCACCTGCTACCTCTCCCAACCCACATGGAAGCCTCCTTGGCTCTTCCTGCTCCCGTAGGCCTGATCTACAGATACTGGGACTATCTGTGCTCCTGGACCTTCGCAAGGCATCCCTCCTGCCTCCAGGGCTCATTCCTGCTCTGAATCAACTTCAGGTACCCATCTTCTTAAGACATCCCTGGGGACCATTTAAAGTCACCAAATTAGCCACAATTGATTCGCTTCTGTCCTTAGGACTCAGGAGACCCTCCCATCATTCAGCGACTGCTGATTCTCATTCATAATGACCTTCCAGCTGATCACAGTGGATTTCAGGTTTGACCCCTTCACTCCCACCTAGTCCCCTATCTGTAGTAGAGAGAGGAGGAGATGGCTACTGCACCAGACTGATCCCCAAATCCCTGGTTCCCCTGCCTTCACATGTCTACAGGGGGCTGAGTTGCTCTCAGGAAATGACCTGAAAAGAGTGGCCAAGCCAGAGGAGCTTCCACGGAGCTTGGGAGGCCACAGAGACACCTCTCCCAGTCACTGGGTAGAGATTCATCAGGTAGGCATCACTCCCTCATCTAGGACACTGGGAGTCAATAGTGATCAAACCGAGAACAGTCTGAAAAAACAGATCTAAGACATAACCATGGGGTAGGGGAAAGTGTTTCCATTCCATTCAATTCATCAAGTGTTTACTGAGCACTTACCACGGGCAAAATATTGTGCTGTTGGAAATGGGAGGAGTGTATTAAATAAGTTCTTAACCTGACATTAAGTCATATATAATTTGAGACAGGACATTAATTGTGAAACAATTAGAGAAATGTGAAAAACAGTGTCAATGAACTTTTTGGAAAGAGCTGAGAATCAGGAAGCTTCGTTATGTCTCCTTCCCCCAAGTCCCAGTATGGCACCTTTTCTCTCCTTACACCAATAACCAGGCCTCAGGATCCTCAACCACAAAATGCAGCATTTGTGATAGGATTTTTAGGTCCTTCCAACACTAACCTTCACTGATTCTATGAATCTAGGTGCTGTGAATATTTTGGATGAAAGGAGGGTTCAGAGTGGTGTTGTAAGGGAAATTGGTAACATGTCTCTAAACTATGAACCAAAGGGAAAGTGGTTATGAGTAGGCAAAAAAGTTTTCCAGGATGAAGACTGCAATAGGACCGGGGACTCACCTTTATGGAGCTGTGCGGTGTGCAAAGTACATGCTAGGTGCCAAACTGGTGTAGTCTCTTTGTTGTTGTGTATCATTGAGTCAGAATCGACACATAGCTGACTCTCCAGCAGGTTTTTAGAGGCAGTTAATTGAACAGGAGATGGCACATCCTTCTCCCACGGAGCAGCTGGTGGACTCAAACTGTGTGCCTTCAGGATTCCAGTGCAGCTTCTTGCCACTAGTCCACCAGAGCTTCCTGTGGTCTCTTTACACTTCAGAAAAAGCCCGTAAACTCATATTGACATAAAACTAAAATTCAAAAAGTTCCAAGGTCATACAACTTGGTCATCAGCCTCTGTGTCAGGAACCAAATGCAGCCCCACCTAACCTCTGTCCCTTGATCCCGTCTGTGTGTGTGTCTTAGGAAGTGGCAAGGCTGTGTCACCTATGCCAAGGTGTGCTGGGCTCTATACGACAAGCCATTGAGGAGCTGGAGGGAGCAGCCAAGTCAAAGGGAGAAGTATGAAATGAGATGGATAACATGGGAGAAGGAGGGTAGTGGGCAAGGGATGGGACAGGGCTGACATGAAGTCTTTCTGATTGAAATCTAATTGTCGATTTCCCTCTGCTCCCAGGAGGCAGTGGGAATGCCTGAGCCCTTGCAGAAGGTGCTGGCAGATCCCCGACTGATGGCACTGCAGAGGGATGGGGGGTCCATCCTGATGAGGCTACGCTCCACTCACAGTAGCAAGTACGGGGGATGGGTGTGTGGAGGCAGGTGGACGCGGGAGATGGAGACCCCACAGAGGCTACCTTGAGCCTGAGCTGCCAAGTGACTCATACTGAGCATGTTATCTAGACAAGCTACCCAGCTTCTATGCTGATTACCTTCCAACTCTCACAACATAGCGCTGTGCTAGTTAAAATTGCAAATGAAGGCTTGGAGAAGTGTTAGATGTGTTGGCTAAAGTCAGTCAATAAATGGAAGAGTCAGGATTCAAATCCAGGCTGGCTGAGCCTGCTTCATGATCATCCACGATGCTATGCCATCTCTTATGCTTGCAGCCACATATTGGAGGGAATGCCAGCAGGAAGGGGTGCTCAGCAAGGGCAATGGTTTATTCTACCTCTGTCCTCCCCCAGGCTGGAGGGTCCAGGCCCAACCACACTGTATCAGGAGGTGGACGAAGCCATTCACCAGCTTGTGCGTCTCTCAAACCTGCACGTGCAGCAGCAGGAACAGCAGCAGCGCCTCCAGCGACTCAAGCAGGTGAGCCAGGACCCATGACCCTTCCTACTGGACCTGAGAGCCTAACCTCCAGCACCACCTGTTCCACTGACACTGTCAGTTGATGGCTCAGCGCTCCCTTCCTCTCTTTTCACCTGCCCTTGAATTTGGTCATGATCAGTGTGAGATCTAACAAGTGGGTGGGAATAGCTTGGCACCCACAATGACAAAAAGCCAAGTCCCTACCTTCCCATTTGATACATTTGATCGTGAATCCTTAGGATTGTGAGAGATGCTCAGGTGCTCTCAGTGGTTCTAGAAGAGCAGGTTGACTCTGGAGTTCCTACTTCCCTAGCTTAAATATAATACATACCTCTTCAGCTCCATGACCATCCTTACTCCTTCAACTTATTACAACCTCCAAACCTGAGGCAACTTTGGAAGAGGGGGTCTTGGAAGCCCACAGATATCTAGGGAACCACAGCTTCTTAGTGAGGAAGAAGCAGAGCTGATGATTAGCAGCCCTCTGAATTGTGGTTCTTCTTTCCTGGAGTTAAGAAGCCCATAGGAATTTGCTCACCACCCTTCCATGTGCGTGTGGGAAGTTTTGAAATCTGTTTGTTCCTGCCTACCTCCTAGTATGGTGGGTGAACCTCAGTGGTAGGCAGTAGGGCAAGGTCATCTCATGGTCAAGGCCAAAGGAGGCCAGGGATTTAGATTTCTTGAGGTTTCTGCATTTTTAAAGGAAGGCTAAGTGTCAGTTAAATTCAAATCCACCAGCTGCTCCGTAGAGACATCTCCTCCAGTTAAGACATACAGCCTTGATCTCTGAGTCAGAACCAACTTTAAAGACAGCAGGTTTCATTTTCGTATCCAAATATCCAAAAGGTTCCAATTCCTACAGTTTGTTTGCATCCTTGCTTTTGTTTGCTTTAAATTGCTCATCAAAAACATTAGCACACAGGATTTGAAAACTAATGTGCTCAGCGTGAGTTCTGGGTGTGAAACGTTGGACAAGTCATAAAGTTTCTCTGAGTCCCCAAATCCTCATCCATATGATACAATATCCATTGCTGCACATATGGAACTGAGGCATGGTTGACCCTCCAGTGGGTTTTCAGAGGCTGTAAATGGAACAGGAGGCAATTGCCCATCTTTCTTGCTTGGAGTAGCTGGTAGATTTGAATCACTTGCCTTTGGGTTGGCAGCGCTCAACAGGCCACCAGGTTTCCCTCATCCATACTATAGGAAAGTTATTACCTTTTGACTCACAAAGGTGTTAGGATAATTCTGTGACTTCATCAAAGGACCATAAAGTCTATATTGCCAACACTGGGTATTTTTTTGGTTTTTTTTTCTATAATTATATTTTATTAATTTTCATAAACATTTACAGAGATTTTGGGTTTCCATTCATTCATTGTTGCACTATTCTCTCTACCCTCCTCCCAGTTTGTTCTTGTCCAAATGCCACAGTGCTTGTCAAAGCCAGTTCTGATTAATCTTCTTTGTCAGTGTGTCCTTTGCCATTCCCTATCACTCCTCCCTGAGAGAGACTTCACCCTGAGTCATAAGGAAAAGGGGATGGTGTATTCTCTTAGCTACTTCCTGCTGAAAAGGGACGCTGTGGGTTTCAGGGTGAAGATCTTCTCTCACTACTCTAAAGGGCCCCTTTGGCAGTAGGAAACACATAGACTATTATGGAGATCCCAACACTGCTTTTTAAACTTCTCAGACTTCTCACCCTCACATTGTCCCCACTCCAGCTTTCAGCCTTTCTTCAGAGGAGAAAAGAACCATCCCTTTTTGGTCAAATATTCCAGTTTCCAAGTTCCTTTCCTAGATATTCTATTTCCCAGAATAGGCAACAAAAGCCTGTGGAGCATATGAACACACACTCCTCTCTGCAGTTTCTCTAGGCCTGGTCTTCAGATTCTTGCTCACTGTAGGTTCACTGTAGGCACCAATATAACTTAATAAAATTCAATTTCTCTGGGCCCTTAGTTTTCCAAACTACTTCATCCTGCCCCTTGTAACACTTGTTTTATCTCTTCCTTGCTTCAGGCATAACCTGGCAACCCTAATTCTCTTCCTTCGGGGCTATGGGTCAGCCCTGCTTTCCCCTTACCTGGTACTTTACTAAAGATTTATTAACCCATTTTCTCACTTGAACATTGTGAAAACTATTCCATACTCTATTACCATTCCCACTTTTCAGATGAGATGATATGAGTTGCTTGAGGTTCTGCGGTTTGAAGTGCTGAAATTGGAGCTGAATCTCTGACTTTTTTTCTCCACTATGGCCTCCTTCCCCTTCATGGTCCCACTTTCGTACCCTGTCTGCCTCAGGTACTGCAGTGGCTGTCAGGCCCAGGAGAAGAGCAGCTGGCAAGCTTTGCTGTGCCTGGAGACTCTCTGTCTGCCCTGCAGGAGACAGAACTTCGATTCCGGGCTTTCAGTACTGAGGTTCAGGTGAGAAAGGAGAAAGGGCCAAGAACACATGCAGAGAGGGAGGAAGGGACAAACTGGAAGTGGGGACCAGGTCTGAGTGCCGCTTCCTTTTTCCAGGAGCGCCTGACCCAAGCAAGGGAGGCCCTGTCCCTGGAGGAGGATGCAGCCTCCCAGAAGGTCTTGGATATCTTTGAGCAGCGGCTGGAGCAGGTTGAGAGTGGCCTCCATCGGGCCCTTCGGCTCCAGCGCTTCTTCCAGCAGGTGTGTGCTGAACCTCTTCTTTCTGTGCTCATTCTATGCCTGGAGAGGCTGGTCAGATAGCATGGACTTGGCAGCCTTTCTCTTTCACTTTGAATCCTAGTTTTGCAACCTGCTTGCTGAAGGACCTGATGCAACCTTATGGTGTCCAAATAGGTCTCTATCTTGCAGGGCTCTTGTGAGCACTGGATGAGACAATAGCTTAAAAGCACTGAGTGAAAGAAAGCCTGCTACTCTATAGAAGTATTGTTATTGTTAAGTGTTGTCAAATCAGCTCCAATCATAACAAGTCCATGCACAACAGAGCAAAACACTGTCAGAGGGAGCTCTGGTGGCTTACTGGCAAGAAGTATCGCTACAATCACAAAGGTGCACGGTTTGAATCCACCAGAAATTCCACTGGAGAAGGAAGGGAAATCTCCTGTGCCAGCCGGATCTGATTTGATGCTACACAGGAAGAATAAAAAAACAAACCAAACACTGTCCGATCCTCCACAATCTCTACTGTGCTTGAGATCATTGTTGCAATCATTTTGTCAGACCATCTAATTGAGGGTCTTTCTCTTTTTTGGTATTAGCTATTCTGTTTATCCAGGGTCCTCTGCCTCCATATCCAACAGGGCCAGTTGCCACTGAGCGGATTCTGACTCATGCTAATCTCACATGCGTCAGCGTGGAGCTGTGTGCTCTGTAGGTTTTCAATGGCTGTCATCTTTCAAAAGTGGATTCCCTTTTTTCTAAGGTGCTTCTTGGTAGGTAAAGCCCAGGACTGGTTCAAACAGCTGTTAACACTTGGCTTTTAACTGAAAAGCTAATGGTCACAGAACCCCAAGAAGTGCCGTGGAAGAAGGCCTGGTGATTTTCTTCCAAAAAGTCGGCCCAGGAACACGACTCTAGCCTGATGCAAACTCTCCCTAGGAATCAGAATCAACCCAATTGGTTTTCTTCCATCTCCATACCAACTTAGGTTACACAGTGATGCTGAGAGAGAGGAAGTGTTCTGAGATGCAGGAAGGGGATGCAGGAAGGATGATGGAGAAGGGGAAGTCATCTCCAAAAGACCACTGGTATGTAGGAGAAACACAGGCCTCACATCTTTCTCTCCCCATCCCTCTCTCACCTCGTAGGCACACGAGTGGGTGGATGAAGGTTCTGCTCGCCTCGCTGGAGCTGGGCCAGGGCGGGAGGCCGTGCTGGCAGCCCTAGCCCTGCGGCGGACCCCAGAGCCCAGTGCTGGCACCTTCCAAGAGATGCGGGCCCTGGCCCTGGACCTGGGCAGCCCAGCAGCACTGCGAGAGTGGGGCCGGTGCCGGGCCCGCTGCCAAGAGCTGGAGAAGAAAATTCAGCAACAGCTGGGAGAGGAGGCAAGTCCTCGGAGCCATCGGCGAAGACGGGCAGACAGCACCAGCAGTGGAGTAGCCCAAAGGGGCCACCACAGTCCCTCACCCAGCCTCACCTCCCTGCTGCTCTCCAGCAGCCCAGGGCCAAGGGCAGCCCCATCACACTGCTCCCTGGCCCCCTGTGGGGAGGACTTTGAGGAGGAGGGCATTGAATTGGCTTCAGAAGCAGAGGGCAGGCCCCCGAGGGCCGTGTTGATCCGAGGCCTAGAGGTCACCAGCACCGAAGTGGTAGACAGAACATGCTCACCACGGGAACACGTGCTGCTGGGCCGGGCCGGGGGACCAGAAGGGCCCTGGGGAGTTGGCACCCCTCGAATGGAGCGCAAGAGAAGCATCAGGTGAGAGTCCAAATCAGCTGGTGCCAAGAGGTCCAACTGATAGACAGGAAAATGGTGTGGAATTGTTGGGGGTTGTGACTCCAACTGATGGAGAGGAAGATGTTGTGGAATTTTTGGGGGAGTGACTCCCTGTTATGCCCCAGGTGACACTTCTTTTACTTTGTTGTCCCTGCAGCGCCCAGCAGCGTCTGGTATCTGAGCTGATTGCCTGTGAACAGGAGTACGTGACCATCTTGAGTGAACCAGTGCCACCTCCTGGGCTTGAGCTGACCCCTGAGCTTCGGGGTACCTGGGCTGCTGCCCTAAGTGCCCGGGAGAGGCTTCGTAGCTTCCACCGGACACATTTTCTGCGGGAGCTTCAGGGCTGTGCCACTCATCCTCTGCGCATTGGGGCCTGCTTCCTTCGTCACGTGAGTAACCCTCCAAAACTCCTCCAGGTCCTCTCTCTGCATGTTCCAGCCTCATCACCTTGCCCTCATTCTCAGTGCCCGCCCCTTCAAATGTGGGGTCTAGGGCCCCGTGGCCCAGGCCTGTGCTCTGTGTTCCTGGACTTCATTCTTTCCAAAGGGGTACCCATCCGCTCCTGGGCAGACCCAGAGCCTCTCACGTGGCCCATGTGTCCTTTGGGTGACAGTGTGGGTTGGAGGATGGAAGGAGAAAAGAAAAGACTTTTTCTCACTGGGGATCGTTTACTTCTTCCCTCCTGTCATAGGGGGACCAGTTCAGTCTGTATGCCCAGTACGTAAAACATCGGCACAAATTAGAGAATGGCCTGGCTGTACTCAGTCCTCCCACCAAGGTAAGCATTTTTCCAACCTTCATGGGATGGGCTCAGGACCCAGAAAGACATACAGTCCACCTGACCTCAAGATCTCTCAGGGGAAAAGAGCTTTCTTGGGTGTGCCCAGGCCTGACATCATCAATAACAACCTTCAGAATTAGTGAGGGAAGGACAAGCACTGAGAGGAGCCAGTAAGCCTAAAAGACCTTGGACAAGACCCTTGACTCCTTAAGGCCTCTATTTTTACATCTGGTAAACAGAGCAGGAGTTACTATATCTAAGTCAGGGAACTCTAAAGATCAAATGATCCCACATCAGAGGACATCAAAGTAACTGAGAAAGTGAAAAGCCAAAGATTATATTGTCAGTCTTATTCCTCTTCCTTTTCCCTTCAAGATATAAAGAATGACTGAGTGTCCTGCAGGCTCCCCACCTGCTTGCTTTCTCGGGGGCAAGTTTTTGGACTTACCTTTTATAGTGTCCAGGAGTTGCCATGAATCAGAAAGCAACTATAAACAACAACAAGGTTTATAAAAGGAGCAGGGGTGATACAGGTGATTTCTGATTCCCAACTAACCTTAAAGGTTAGAGGTTAGGACCCACCCAGAAGGTTGACGCAAGAAAGACATGGGTAGCTGCTTCTGTCAAGACCTGAATACATGGCGATTATGTGCCTACAGCAGGCTTCGTTTACATCCCAAAGACTGGACTGCCACCTACTTCCCTCCTCGGAAGCATGGCCCCACGAGCTCCAGCCTCCCCTCTTTTCCCTCTCTCCTCCTTACCTAGGGCTCCATGGAGGGCGGCCCCCACCTACCCCGGGCCCTGCAGCAGCCTCTGGAGCAGCTGGCTCGGTATGTGCGGCTTCTGGAGGAGCTCCTGAGGGAAGCTGGGCCTGAGCCAAGTTCTGAGCGCCAGGCCCTTGGAGCTGCCGCACAGCTGCTCCAGGAACAAGAAGCCCGAGGCAGAGACCTGTTGGCCGTGGAGGCAGTTCGTGGCTGCGAGGTGAGCCTGTAACTCTAATCACTCTTATTTAAATATCCTAGCCCAGTGGCCTCAAAAGCAGTATGTGCTAGTGACAAGAGAACCAGACTCCAAGTCAGAGTGCCCCAAGTTTTCATTTCTAACCAGCTGGATAGTCTTGGCTGGGTCACTGAAATTCACTGGGTCTCAGTTTCTTCATCTGTAAATAAGGAAATCATATCCCTCCTGACCACGATCCCACATCTGCCTTGGGCCTTCCTATTCTTTTTCTGATTTTTACTTTTTCCCTTCTACCTTGCACCTCCTCCTGAATCTCAACATCCAACAATGTACCTCATTCTCAGCTAACTCATCTCTTTGCCAGACCTGAATAAACTTCCAAAACAGGCCCAATACCACTTGGAGTCCTACCTTCTCTGGGATAGACCTCTTTTCTCCTTGATTCTTTGCTGGTGCTCTTTTGGGGAGAAAAGTCGTGCTTCAGATCTCAACATGCAAAGCTTCCGCTTGGGAATCTGCAAAACTTTTTGATCAATGCACCTTCCCCCTTCAGAGACAGGGTTGTTCTAGGACAGGTGTGCTGTGCATGGTGACAAGCGGATGGAGTCTAGACTGACAGCCTCCCTTATCTCCTGACTCTGTCTGAGAACCAGTGCAGTAGGCCCTTCACCTTATAAATCCTATTGACACCTGCAAAACATACACAAAATGATGTTGGTCCAATGGTCTTTTTTTTTTTCTTTTTTCTTTCCCCAGATAGATTTGAAGGAGCAGGGACAACTTCTGCATCGGGACCCTTTCACAGTCATCTGTGGCAGAAAGAAGTGCCTTCGCCATGTCTTCCTCTTCGAGCATCTCCTCCTCTTCAGCAAGCTCAAGAGCACTGAGGGAGGGTCAGAGACCTTTGTTTACAAGCAGGCCTTTAAGGTAAAATGCCTGGAGCCCGGAATATGGTTGTGGTTGTTGTTAGGTGCCATCCAGTCAAGTGCATCTCATAGCAAGCCTGTGAATAGTAGATCTGAACTCTGGCCTATCCTTTGCTATCCTCATCATTTCTGACATACTTGAGCCCATTGCCATACTCACTCTAACAGCCCATCTTAAAGAGGATCTTCCTTTCTCTGACCCGCCTTTTCTTTTTTTGTATTGTAATTTTTTTTATTGTAATTTTAATGAAAGTTTACAGAAAAGTTGGATTTTTATTTATTCATGGTTGCACCTTTTCCTCCCTATACCTCCAGTCCACTTTAAAAAAAAGTATTAGTTCATTGTTGCATAATTTCCTCCTTCCTCCAGTTCATTTTGCTATGCACCTCTTATTCTGGACTGTTGTCATACAAATAATGCCTAATTATATATTTCTTTTAAACAGTTCTTTCCTTCATCTATTCCAATGCAGTGTTCATTATTTATCCCCTTTTCTTCGTTTCCCTCCCAAACCCCATGTCAGTCCTATTTTAGAACAGTGTATAATACAGTGTTTGTCCTTTTGTGATGGAGATATTTCACTCAGTATAATGTCATGCAGGGTCACCCATGTTGGGGAATATTTTGAATTCCTTGTTTTTCAGTGCTGCATAGTATTCCATGGTATGGATATACCATAGTATTTTTATTATTGTTATTTTGTATGTGTGTACGATCAAATCAGATCTGACTGGTACAGGAAGTGATTGTCTCTCCTTCTCCAGCAATGCATCTGATGGATTCAAACTACGTACCTCTGGGATTGCAGTGTAGCTTCTTGCCACTAGGCCATCAGAGCTCCCTTCTAGTATTTCTATCCATTCATTTGTTGATGGGCACTTGGTTTGCCTCCATCTCTTTGCTATTGTGAATAATGTAGTAGTAAACATAGGTGTGCATATATCTGTTTGGATGTCAGCTCTGGCTTCTTAGGTGTATTTTCCTAATAGTGGAATTGCTGTGTCAAATGATATTTCTATTTCCAACTTTTTTATAAAGTGCTATATACTCTCCATCTTTTCAAGCATGATAACCCTTCCCAGGGAATAACCTCTCCTAACAACATGGGCAAAGCAAGACAAAGTTTTGTCATCTTTGCCTCCAAGAAGCACTCTGGCTGCACTTTATAGGGTGTGGTATAGGGAAAACAAATCTATGCAGCCTCTTTCTGAGAACTTAGGGTGCTCTGGAAACTCAAACTCAACCCTGCTTCAGAACTTAATCATCTGGAAATGGGCTTTGGTCTGTAATCAGCCATCAAGTCAAAGTGTCAAAGGGTGAGGGGTGTTCCTGTCATTTGTCCACCTCAAGTTTTCCTTATTATTCATGCAGGAAACTTATTGAATTGAGAATGGAAAAAGACCCTTTCCATTAAGAACACACATCTTTTGAGTTAGAGGAGGTCCCTGGGAGATAGGGAAAATACTTAGAGATGTAGCTTAACGTGACTGAACTTAAGGACCCAGGAATAGGGGCCTCAATATCCTGACAAATGCCCACAACAGCCTATAGTCCTCATTCAGGAAAGTGGAATGATTCCAAGGATTTTATCCCCCTCCTCTTGAGTTCCAGCTCTTGAGGAGGGCGGCTCTATTGTATGGAAGAAAAGGTATAGGTTTGTGACCACACAGACTTATCCAAATCCTAACTCTCCCACTCATTTGGGCAAATTATTTCAGGTCCCTGGACTCCCTTTCTCCTTCTCTAAGTTAGGGTTGGTATGAAGACTAAATCTAGAGCTCTAGGCACATGACAGATGTTGTACATTTACTCAACACCTACCAGATGTCATGCCAGACATTTGCCCATGTGCTACTGTCTCACCAGGACTCTCCCCTCTACTCTTCCTCAGACTGCTGACATGGGGCTGACGGAGAACATTGGAGACAGCGGGCTCTGCTTCGAGCTGTGGTTTCGGCGGCGGCGGGCACGAGAGGCATATACACTGCAGGCAGCCTCACCAGAGGTCAAACTCAAGTGGACAAGTTCTATTGCTCAGCTGCTGTGGAGACAGGCGGCCCACAACAAGGGTAATGGGAGGAAGTGCCTAGATTCAGTATAATAACAGAAAGTTATCTGGAAAATATGGAGACCATTTAAGAAAAATGGGTGTAGGATGAACAAGGAAGAATGTCTTGTGGTAAGACGTGAGAGAGGTCTAGGAGATAGAAATTAGTCCAGGGTGTACTAAAATGGGAGAAAAAGCAAGCAAATTTCAGGGAGACAAAATAAATGGCTAATGAGGCAAAAGACTGCTCACGTTAAGTTCAAGAGTTAGTACCATTCACTTGCTATGTAGCCTGAACTAGGTTTATTTTGTTTTGTATTGCTGGTTTTTGTTTTGTTCTTAATCTCTGAACCTCATTTCACTCATTGGGAAAACGGAGATTATATTTCCATTTTAGCAAGATAAACAAAAATCAAACACAAAGCCACTGAGTCAGTTCCAACTCACAACGAACCTGTAGGACAGAGTAGAACTGTTTTGAGGGTTTCCAAGGCTGTAATCTTTCAGGAAGCAGATTGCCCTATCTTTCTCCCGTGGAGCAACTGATGGGTTCCAACCACTGGCCTGTCAGTTAACAGCCGAGTGCTGACCCATTGTGCTACCAGGGCCCCTCTAGCATGATCGTGAGGATTTGGTAAGGTGATATATACATATGGAAGTACTTTGCAAACTTGAAAGGTATATAGAAACGTTAAGTATTGCTCTTGATGCCCGAGATAAGGGGAAGCAGGTGGATATTAGAAGAGATGTTGGGTGGCCAGGATATCAAAGTAGCAGGATGCAACAGATTAGAGAGTAATGTCTAGGGAGGAAGTCAAAGACCACCTTCATCATCCAGATTGTGATGTTCCGTGGAAAGAGTAACAAGAGACCCCAGAGCAAAGAGGATGAGAAGGAGCAGCTGAAATCAACAGTGGCAGTGCTAGGGTGGGAAGAAAGGGGCAGCAAGAGGTTGGTAACAAGTTTCTATTCTTCAGAGCTCCGAGTTCAGCAGATGGTCTCCATGGGCATTGGGAATAAACCCTTCCTGGACATCAAAGCCCTTGGGGAGCGGACATTGAGTGCTCTGCTCACCGGAAGAGGTGAGAGCCAGAATGCTGGGGGGTGGCCCCCAGAAACCGAGACTCAGAGGATGAGGAGACAAACGGGAGGTGTGGTGGATAGTGTGGAAGGGCAATGAGTGGGCATCACTTTCCAAAGACTATCGGGCAGACTGGGAGGCCCTCTGTGAGAATGAGGGTCCTTCCAGGGAGCCCAAGAGGGCTTTCCCACACCAGCACCCCACCCCCACTCTCTGCAGCCGCCCGAACCCGGGCCTCCGTGGCCGTGTCATCTTTTGAGCATGCCGGCCCCTCCGTTCCCGGCCTCTCGCCGGGCGCCTGCTCCCTGCCTGCCCGCGTCGAGGAGGAGGCCTGGGATCTGGACGTCAAGCAAATTTCCCTGGGTGAGGCACCTCTCAAGGGTGGCTCCCAACGGCTGGTGATGTTCAGGCTGCTTGCTGCTGAGCAATTTCTCTTTCTAGCCAAGCAGCCCAGTTGCCAAGGCGACTATGTACAGCTTCCCCATTGCTAAAAGAGCCTTCCATCTGGTTGCTAGGGTGATGCTTACAGCAGCCTGTTGCTAAGAAGCACTTCCTCTGTACCTCTCTCTCTAGCGCTCCTTGAGTTTCTATGGAAACTGCCTCAGCTTCCTGTTGTACCCTCCTGGTTCACCACGGCAATCCTTAGTTTCCTGTTGCTTCTTCCCTGGGTGCTCTAATGATGCTGCTGACAATTTCCTGCCTCTTGTTAGGGGGGTCTCTTGCAACTGGATTGCTATGGTGACTCAGCTTCCTGTTGCTATGGAACTTTTTCTTCTCTGATGGAGCAGCTTGGTTGCTTAAGGTAATCTGGAAGGGTTCTACATTCTGCTCTCACCCTAGCTTCCCCTCCAGCCCCAGAAACACTTGACTCTTCTGGAGATGTGTCCCCAGGACCAAGAAACAGCCCCAGCCAGCAAACCCCCTACCCTGGGAGGAGCACTCCCACCCTGACCAGTGGAGGGATCTTAGGGTTATCCCAACAGGTAAGTCCCTACAGTAGAGTTGGAGGGGTGATCTCTTTGACCATGTCAGGGTGGGCTCTTCTGATTAATGAACCTATTGAGCTGAGGAGGCAATGATCTTGTGCTCTAAGCTAAGGGGACAGAATGGATAGATTGTCTACCTCTCCATCTCCCCAGGCTCAGTTGAGAGGCATCAAATGCAGGACAGAAAAGGAATTTTTAGTAATGAGAATATTGGTTAGAAAAGGGTAACTTTGGACTTAGGTTAAATCAGCAATATTGAGGTATCTTGGAGAGATGAGAGGTGAACTGACAAGTTTGGGGAAGAGGTAACTCTTCCCCCATAAAGTCACCTCATCTCTTTCTTCAGAGTCATGCCCGAACCATGAGTGACCCCACCACTCCTCTCTGACAAAGGTGAGTCAGCATCCCCTATCACCCCCACACTCCCTTTCTTCTGCATGCCCCTTCCCTTCTCTCCCATCTACATGGGGGGGAGGTCAGCCTCTTCCCTCTCCCACTCCATCACCCTCTACTCTTCCCAACTTCTGTCTTACAGAGAAGATCCAGAACATTATAGCAGCCTCCTCTCAGCACACTTTGGCTGGGATGGTGGTGGAGCATAATGGAGAACCGGAGAGCACTGAATTCCTTCCTCTGCTTCCTGGACAGAGAGGTGGTCAAGAGACTAGTGCATTACACTGCTACTGCTATCTTTAGCTCTCCCAGCCTTGTGCCTTTTCCCACTGGAACTGAGTGGTTTCACTTGCTTGACTTCAAACCCCGAAGACTGGGATATGGTCCCTTTCCCCCACCCTGGGCCACTGCGTATTCCCAGTGCATGGCTCCTACTCTTGCCTTCCTCTGCCAATCTGTTCTCTTCTGGTCACTCTCTGACGCTCCCTGAGAAAATTCATCTCTGCCAGATCAGCTAGACTTCCTTGTGAGTCCATTGTGGGGGTTCAGAGAAAATGGAGCTATGCAAACCATTACATGGGGGGGCTGCAGGCTTTATACATGTAAAACTATTGTTATTCTATATTAAACATATTTACTCTCACTTTGCCTCTCAGGAGCTAAAACGTTTATTGGGTTGAGGTAACATTAATGTGAGCACTTCTCCTCACTCAATTATTAACTTCTTGTTTGGTGTCATTAAGTTAGTTCTGACTCTTGAGAACTCCCTATTAGCTGAGTAGAACTTCTCCATAGGGTTTTCAAGACTGTTGTCTTTAGGAAGCAGACTGCTGCCAGGCCTGTTTTCCAAGGCACTTTAGAGTGGGTTCAAACAGCCAACATTTTGGCTTATAGTCTGCTTTACCCTTTGAGCCACCAAGGACCTTACCCACTGACTCACAGCAAGGTTCCATCAGGTTTCTGTAACTATACATTTTCAATCAGCTTTCTCCCTTGGAGCTGCTGGTGCATTCAAATTGCCAGAGAGATGCAGCCTTATGCACCAGAGCTCCTATAACCACTGACTAGAACACAGAGGTGTCCAAGGCTACAGGGACCCTCTCCCCTCTACTGACTCAAAACTAACTGTGCTTGAGTTCCGTTCCTCGCAGCAGCTTCCAGAAGTTCAGCGTACCCTTTCCATCTCCTCCCATGCTCCCAGTTGCAAGCTACTTCTGGACACCCAGTAAGTCACAGAGAAACTGAGATCCAGCACAGATTAGCAGTTCTCAAGATTATGTCCTCAGGCTGCTGAGCCCCTAGGCTACATATTAAATGCATATTCGTGGGGTCTATACCTCAGAGCCAGTGAATCTTAGGCCTAGCATTAAAACCCTAGTTTAAATTCTAAACTAATTTTTTTGATAACTCAGTGCCTTAAGATGTGGACTACTTCCTGGGTAGAAGAGCCCAAGGAAGAGGTCAGGACAGAGGCAGACAGACACAGTGCCCTGTGCCTCAAGACACCTGTTTATTGGGGACACGACTCTGCAACAGGGATGACAGGGATCGTACCAAAAATAGCGACGTCTACAGGGCCCCTGATGGGGCTAGAAGGGTACAGGGACCCCCACCCCCACCCCTTGTACAAAAATAAACTTTCACACCTATGGACCAGCAAAGATTGGCAGAGCGGTTCCTCTACAGAGAGGGACACGACTCTCTGCCAACCCTGGGACCCCATTCTTTGACCCTCACCCCTGCCACTTCTAAGGCACTGTGACTCTCCTCTGGGCTGGGTGGGGACCTCCTGCCCACCCTCCTATGCCCACTGCCCTTCCACCTCTGGTCCACTCGGGGCTGGGATATGGGTCCCGTGCTGCCCCCTGCTGGCTGCTCTATCCAACTACCTCTAGTGCTCCCCGGCGCCGGCGGGGAAGCTCTCTAAGCTAATGGCCCCTAGGAGGGCTCCCTACCGTTCTTGTGCCCCCAGCCGGGTCTCTCCGGATCGGGACAGCCCGGGCCCCTCCTCTACTTCCTCAGGAGGACTGGGAGGGGTCTCCCCTGAGGGCGCTCGAGTATAGGGAGGGGATGCGTCAGCCTGAGGTGGCCTACGGCCCCGAGCCCTACGGCTATGATGCACCTGCAGGTGCAAGGCCATGAGCTCGGGCGCTCCAGTGGCGAAGGGGCAGAAGAGGCAGCGATGAAGGGCACCCCCGGGCCCAGCCTCCCCTCCTGGCCCCGCCCGCAGAGACAGGTCTAGGGGCTCGGCCTCACCCCCTCGCCCATTGCGAAGGGTCCTCCCTGGGCTGGCCGGCTTTCTACGTGAGCCTGGCGCAGCCCCACTCGACGGAGGCCGGGGATTTGGTGTGCCCTCCGCCCAGGTGGCAGGCTGAGGAGACACTTTGGCGCCTGAAGGCGGAGCAGAACCCCGTTGGGAAGTGGGTGGAGGCTCAGGGGGTGGTCCCGGGCCGGCCCCACTCCTCTGCTCCCTGTGGTGGCGCTGCAAGTGATACTTGAGCGAGCCAGACTGGGTGCCTGCGTAGTCACAGTGTGGGCACTTGTACGGGCGCTCACCTGCGGAAAGGGGGGGGGGGTGAGGTCACGCGTCAGGAATCACTGCAGTCCCAGTCACTGAGATCAGCCTCACACAGAGGGGAAATGCTGCCCCGTCCCACCTTTCACTGTGAGGGCTGCCAGGGACCACCTCCCAGCTTTCCCATCACCCTTCACCGTTCTTCCTCTACTGTCCCTCCCCAGCCCCTCATCCCCCACCCCGGCGGCTGTCCCCCTCCTCACCTGTGTGCACTCTCAGATGCACTTTGAGGTGGTGCGCAGATCGGAAAGATTTTCCACAGAAGGGACAATCCTTGCCGGTGGCTCCCCGGCCCCCTTCAGGTCGAGTCCCTCCAACCAACAGCCCGTTTTCTTCTGCAATACACAAGCCAAGAGAAAGCTCACAGCAGGGTCTGGTGCAGCCATTCCCATCCCACAGGACTGCTTCTCTTTAGGGGCCCAGGAGGAAGCTGGAGGAACGTGAGGGGTTGAATGTTCCGAGCAGAGAGCTGGAAACCTCTTGTAAAACAGGTTTGAAGAATTGAAAGGGAGGGGAGAGTGATGAATTTTAAAATAAGAAGCCAGGCTGTAGTAAGAGCATCACATCAGCTGGAGGCGCCAGTACATACCCTGCGTGGCCGCTGATCGTGCCTGCGCCCCAGCTGCAGGCGCAGAGTTTCCTGGCCCCTCGCCTGGTCGCGGGTTCAGTGTAGTCAGTGGGCCCAGTGACCTGCTCCGGGCCCAGGGCTCCTCCTCTGTCTCCACCACCTCCTCTTCCTCATCCTGCTCCTCGGTGCGCTGTCGGCGAGCCCGGGCAGGGAGAGCTGAAGGCAGAGGGCGGAAGCCTCCGAAACTACGACCGGGCCCAGACTCAACGCCCTCGCCATTGGGCCGGGCCTCACCCGTGCGCAGGCTCAGATAGCCCAGGAGGCTGGGGTGCTCTCGACGTTCAGCTGGTGTGGACGCAGGGGCCAGAAGGAGTGCGGGGCCCAGCGGCTCATAGGCCAGCAGACCTAGGTCTGAAGGTTGGGGAGCCCGGGCAGGGCCAGAGGCAGGCCCCGGGGTACGCAGTGGGCCCAACTTGCTTGCGTGCACCTTCATATGGTTCTTGAGGAACCAGGGCTCCTTAAAGCAGCGGCCACACACAGGACACGCATGATCAAAGGAAGCTTTGTGCTTGCGCATGTGGCCCTTGAGAAACCAGGACTGTGTAAAGCTCTGGCCGCACACTTGGCAGCGGAACTCCGGAGGTGCTGGGGGTTCTTCGGCGGTGACAGGAGCAGGGGCAGGAGTTGCCTCAGGTTCAGGCTCAGGCTCTGGGGCCGATTTGGGTTCAGGCTCAGGTGGGGGTTGCGGCTGGGGTGCAGCAGAGGTGGCCGCCAGAGGGCGCTCGGCAGCCCCATGGGCGGTCAGGCTGTGGTGCAGTAGCTCCTCCTCCTGGCTGGAGCCGAAACTACACAGGCTGCACTTCCAGGGCCTGTGCAGAATGTGAAGGTGGCGTTCCCGCTCTGCTGAGGTGCGAAACTTGCCTTTGCAGAAAGGGCAACGGAAGGCAGATGAAGCTGACTGAGGCCGCACTAGGCCCTCGGTGGCAGATGTCGCCTGCATACCCCCCGAGCCTCTGGGTCTCCCCAGCCGGGCCTCGCGCAGCAGCGCGCGCTCCTCCAATTCCAGCAGCAGGCGCGCGGCGGGGCTACGCGGGCGCTCCGGTTGGTGCGTGCGTAAATGTGAGCGCAGCAGAGCTCGCTGCGCTGCGCGGTGGCCACAGTGTGGACACTGGAAAGCCTGGGCGCCAGGGTGCGCCCTCAGGTGCAGCGCCAGGATGGAGTTAAAACGGAAACGCTTCCCGCAGACAGGGCAAGGGAAACGCCTTTCACCTGCCCGACTCTCGGACCAGGCCACTGCGCCCATTCCTGGTGATCCGGTGCTTACACCTGGCCCGTTGGAATAGCGCTGCAGATCCAGCTCTCCGTCGAAAGTTGGCGGAGATGGCGCTAAGTGGCCGCCCAGGGCGCGAGGACGTGAGCCCTGTGGAGAAAGGTGCAAGTAGGGAAAGGGCTGGAAAGGGCCAGCTATGGCTATAGCTGGGGCATCGAGGGCTCAAGGAAGGGTGGACTGGGGCCTGAAAACAAATGCCAGATGCCCTTCTCACTGACCTTGGAGAAATTGAGGGATGAATGGGAACAGATGTTTGGGCACAAGGGGATTTCTAATACTAGGTGACAAAGGTAAGGAGGGGAGAAAGTATAGTTGTAGACCAAGACCAGAGCTTCACTCACCTCCATGGACCCCCTTCACATTCTTTGGTTGTGGGGAGTGCAGGGAAGAGAAGGAGGAAAAGCTGCTAGTGAAGGCAACAGGTGCTGCTGGGGAGCTAAAGCAAGAGACAGATTTGAGGGTAACAATGAACTCTGATTTTTGGCAATGAAGTCACCTCTATCCCCAGACATCTGCACTCCACTCCTGAAAACTATCCCTCCTCTGTCCTCGCATCCTAAGGTACCCAAGGAGCCCCGTGGTCCCCAAAAATTGTACCCCTTGGCTTGCCAGCCCACGAGAATCCTTGATGGCCCACAATTCTCCCCCTTACCAAACTTTTGTTTTCCCAGAACCATCACCACCCCATGCCCTGGAGCTGGAGACACAGTATGCTCCTATCTTATTTAAGTTGATAAGTAAATGGAGTGGATTTGCCATGCTCCCCAGTGACACAAGTGGGACAAGTTGTTTTGAGACCCCCAGCCAGCCCAACACTCTTCCAGCCTCTACAGTCCTTCCTTCTGCCCTTACCCTGTCTTTCCCCCCTCATCCTCCCTCTGCCTGGATTCCTGATCCATTCATTTCCATTCATTACAGAGACTCATTCATGCATGGGAGAGAAACACCTCCCAGCCGCAGAGTCTGGAGACAGACAGAGGGGGAGGGGCGTGAAGGGGGAGAGCGCTAGAGAGAGAAGGGATGAATAGAGATGAAGGGAGGAATGAAGTTGAGGGGCGCTGCTGGCCTGGGGAAGAGGTTAAAAACTGCAAATACCAGATAGGATCCATCCCCTTGTTTCAAACCTTGGAGCCTGTGGTTTGATGGGGCATCTCAGCCCCTTTGTCCAGGGCTGTTCCGAAGCAGGCTTTCCTCCTCTCTGCAGGGGAGAGGCTCCCTCACACAAGAGGAGGATTACACAGGCTCTGAGCTCAAGAGGCTGGAGTGAGGGATGGGGGGCGGGGCTGGGCCATCTGCACAGATAGGGGCTCAGCACATGCTCAGATCAGGAAAGGGTTAAAATTCTCCAGGCTAAAATTCCCTAGGCCTGGGTGGTGAAGAGCTCTAGTGCAGTGGAAGAAGAGCAATGAGGATTGGAGAGGCTCCCCTGACTCTAGGCTGTGGAGGACAGCATTAGAACTTAAAAGCAACCTTAGAGTTAAGATCTTTAGAAAAAGGCCTAGGAAGTCAAGAAGTCATCCAGGATATCTTCCTGCTTACACAGAGAACTACATCTGGTCAAGGCCAGACTAATGAGGGCCTAATCTGTTTTCTATCACCTGAGATAGAACATTATGTGAAATATAAAGAACGTCCTTACAATAGATACTATGAAATTGAAATGGGTCACTGAGAAAGAAAAGGACTCAAGTATTACTTTGCTTAAGGATATTTAATAGAAGAGAATTGGGCCAGGAATCATTCCTGCTTATCAGCAGAGATAGAATGCTCTAGAAGTCCAAGGATTCTTTTCTTTTTGACATTTAGTGGATGTGGTAAGACTCTATGAAGGATCATGCATCTATTTATTATATGTGGGATCTGGGCCACAGGAGTTTTATTAACAGGAGATGAGCAGAGTCCATGTCCCAGGGTCACTACATGACCTCCACAACTAAACATGTATACTTCTGTGGCTCCAAATTAGGACATCCACCCATTAAAAAAAAAATCCAAAAACCTAGAGAGACTTATAGAGCAGTGTGTTAAAAATAATTAGTGCACTAGAATAGAACAGAGTGGTCCAAGGGTATTGTAGACTCATCCTGACCATTAAAACTTTCCACCCTAAAGTAAATTCCTTAACTTTGCCTTTTACTCATCTGTAAAATAAGAGGGAGGGAAAATTTATGCTGATATCCCCTCCAATTCAAAAGTTTTGTGATTGGAAGTCAGAGAACTCTTTTGGACTATAGAGACATTAAAACAAATGGTCATCCCTTCAGTACCATGGAGAGTGCAGTGGGCTACCAGAGATGACACTTTGGCTACCTCAGTACCATAGATGGAGCTATGAAATGCTAGAGGGGCCAAATTTTCCTTTTAAGCAATATGAATTAAGCACTGAGGAAAGCTAAAATATATATATATATGTGTACACACACACACACACACACACACACACACACACACACACACACGGGGGTTATCACTGGTTTGTTCTTTAAAAAAAAATCTTATCTGAGAAACACAGAGAAAAAATAGTGGAACCAGAGATTATTTTGGCCTTTTGAGTGTCACTGAAAATAGACAGATGTAATAGAAAATAGATGTAACTGGAAGAATTTTAATTAGCTATAAGGAGTGTCCTGACAGTTACAGTTTGTAATCCTGGAATGAGTTACTGTGGAATTGTATTTGGGTCCATCACATTCTGTTGCTCTCCTGGGGATTCCCGGAACATCCTGGTGTACGGCCAATCTGGTATATTCAGAAGAAGCAGATGGTAGTTGGGGGGGGTGGAGGGAGAGGAAGTGAGGCTGGGAATATTGCATGGTCATAGCTGACTAACCTATGGGCACATATACTGATTCAGAAAAGATTTTAGGCTTCCTACAATCGCCTATATGATAGCAAGCAAAATACCTCATGGGAAGCTGGCCTTACATCAAAGGCTAAAAGAATAAAACTAAGGCAAAGCTTCCCTCCCCCTTCACAATCAAAAGAAAAAAGAAAAAAAAAACTGGCTGTTAACAGTTTCTAGGATGGAAATACAGGGATACACAGGAAGGCCTAAAAATGAAGCTGTATTACTTAACAGGGAAAGTTTTCGCATAGGGTGGCCTAAAACCAGTAAAACACACGAAGAGCCCCTCGTAGGTCCAGTGAAGCTCTCAAATTCTTTCCACATCTGGTCCTAAGTACCAGATTCCATTGGTTTTCTCTATAGGGAAAGCACTGATAAGGCCTGAGATTCTAAGAAATAGCCTATAATGTAAACCTAGGTCATGCATGGATTGCCTGTGGGCAATGGTTAGACTTTCCTAGTCAGGTCTTAGACATTATCCACAAGAATTCACTAGACAGTCGCACTGACCTACTTTCCACTCCACCCGGAATTAGGGGTTATCTTGCCCTTATTTGGGTTCTATAGGAATGCAGGGCCAGGATAGGGATCAGAAATCTTTCCAAAACATCAGCCAATTTACTCTTCTATGCCAGGCAATCTGGTGGGAAAGAGGCTGTGGACCATCAAACCTTACAGAGTAGAGAAAGATGGAAAGGTCGGTGAGAAGTCTCCTAGAAACAGAGAAAGGTATATAGAAGCCATACTAGCTGGAGAATTAAATTCTCCTTCATGGTATGTGCAATAAGGTTAAGGTCTAAGCGTAAGGGCCAATGGTTCAGTACTTCTGGGGTCTAGATGTGACTAGGTTTTTGTCTAGTCATCTCTAATAATTGATGCTTTCACTCAGTAGAAAACCTTATACTTCATAAATCAGCTTTAGGAACAAACATGATTTATACGGCACTAGATGGAGTTAAGAGGACAGGGGCTTCTTAGGTGATCTACAGTCAAGATCACTTCCATCACACAGGTATGGCCAACAGTTCAATTTTATCTTCTCTCCATGGGGCTCTGAGCTTCACCTGCTAGCTCCAAACCCACCCCACTCCACAACTTGCCCACCCTTCAGACTCAGTTCTTGGTTAAACCTCCTTTTTATCCTCATTGTCATGAGTTGGGAGCATAGGATCTCAATCAAGTGACTCTAAATGCACAGCTGGAGAAAAGAGGAAGATACACCTGCTGCCACCCTACCTCTTGAATCTTATTCCTGAGGCATGTCCCAACTTGACCCTTCCTCTGAAAAGTTCTGGAGGACTTGGATATGGGGAAAGGACATGTAGTAAGCCCGAAGACCCCTTAACCAGAACTAACCCTAGGAAAGTCACAATCTTGACACCATGACTGGAGGTAAACAGGAGAGACTTCAGGGAGGGGGCTCCCAGAAGCAGGTGGGCAAGTAGGGTAGGACCTGTGATCTGGCACAAGAGGTTCTTCACGCAGCCCCTTAGACCCCTTCTAGAGAGGATAAGGCAAAGGATGATGGGGGGCAGGGATGGGGTAATAGGAGGCCAAGGCTCTGCTACCCCTGGCCTGGAGAACAAAAGCTGAGTTGCAGCCGCCTCCGCTGCAGCCGCGGGCCGAGCTCTTTGTGACACTTTGTTTGGGACGCAGAGAGGGAAGCACTCCCCATCCTCTCCCCTCCCCCATACCCCCTCCTGGAGAGTTTGGGTCTTCCCCCTCCCCCACCAGCCCTACCTGGGCCGGGGGACGCTTATTCACTCTGCCTCCAAGCAGGGCCACCCCGAGCCCCCAGGCCCCAAGCGCCCTCCCTCCGGGGCCCCTACAAAGGCGCCCCCCCCCCGCTGGCCCTTCCCCTCTGGTGTCTTCTCCTCAGCTCCCGCACCTGGCCCCCACCTCCCTCAAGCCCCCCCAGCTCTCCAGGCTTCCGAGGCCGCCGCCCCCACCGCGCCCCCCCAGGAGCTCTGGGCGAAGTTTGCTTGGGGCCGAGCCGGCGCCCCTCCCCCGCCCCCGCCCCC